CCGTTGGCAGTTGTGGATAATTTTGGGCTAAGGACTGTACGGACAAGCCTTTTCTGGTGTGTAGCACCAACACGCTCTGTACTACGCCCACCTTCCTCCCGTCCTTGATGTCCCAGAAGTAAGCAGACACACTTGAGACGTTAACATCCAAGGTGACATTAAGTAAACTCAGTCTCACAGCCTGGCCGACGAGTGATTTGGGAAAAACAATCCGGAATACTTGAGGGTTTGCCCCTCGTATGCTGAGGAGCGTAGGAAACATATTTTTGCCTGAGCTGTTAATTGTTACAGCCTATAGCAGTGTGGCTGGGCAAATAGGTTTGTAACTGGTTTCTCTTCTCTCCCTGAAAGAGAAAAAACACGAGGAGGTCCTGGCACATCCGTTACAAACCTATTTGCTCCGTTTCTTTCTGACCCGGCGTCTCGGTTGGCGATGGATGCCCTCTTCTGCAAGTAGAAGCTGGATGGTGTAGCGCGCTCCTAACCATGGCTATTACTTTTTCTTTCCATCTCTGCTTCCTCCACTGACCACTACACATGCCAAAGGGTACCTTAAGATGTTTGATATCCCTCCTGGTGCTCGACATGTGTTTGTCCAAGAAGACGAGGCTTCTCCTCACTTTCTTGGTAAGTGTTTCTCTCCTCAGGTCTGGCTTTGAGGCATGCAGAGAAGCACGGGGCGCTCCTGCAGAAGAACCTGAGAAGTGAGATAACCAAATTGAAGCGTTTCGGGTAGATTGCAAAACCGCATGCGAAGGACTGAGTCCTTCAGCTTAAGCTCAGCAAACAAACGTTTACTTCTCATCTAAATTCTTCAATATATTAAACTGGTCCCAGTTTGCATGTTTACTAACAAGAGGGTTGTCATCACACGCGTCTCAACGGGCTCTGCCAGGGTGAAAACTCTGTGTTGTATTGATGTCAGTCAAACCTGGTGTCTGAAATTCTTCTTATTTGCTACAGATTGGAAGCAGCAGCTGTTTTAATGGAAAAAAGATTGAGGAGTTTGTGATATGTTTGCATTTCATTTCAGATTTTTCTCACGTAGCACGGTTGTCGATCAATCTGTGTCTTACTGCTGACCGTTTTCTAACGCTTACGGGATTTTTAGCTCACAGGAGAGGGGTGAAGATCTTCCATGGATTTTAATGGCCTTGTAATCAGCTCCTCACGTGCTAGGGCAGCGTCTGGGTTGTAAACCCTGTAGACAAGAGTTGGATTAGTTACTAAAAAGAAGTAGGAATAGAAAAAAAGAAAAAGAAAATAAATTATTTCAAGTCAAAGGAGGAAACTTGGCTTTTGAGGTCCCAGAGCTTCATTTTGGACCATGGGTAGCTTGGTAGTAACTGTCAGAGAAGCACAACTTTGCTTTGGCAGCACTCGGCTTCACGGAGCTGCTCCCCCAGTGCTGCAGAGCTCCTGCATTTGGGTTACTGTCATCACAGCAACTTGTGAGATGTCTACGTAGTTCTTCTTAGCGTGTTTTACGGCGCACTGGAAAAAGCTGGACAAAATTAAAAATGAGAGTCCATCTTTCAGATTTCTAACGTATTGGCTTCCAGTTGGAGCATAACAGTAATCCCCACACTACGTGACTTGGAGGGTGTGGTGCAGGAAGCCAAACCCAAGTTGTTTCCCAAGGGTTCAAATGCCTCAGCTCTTTCCTTACTGATTTTAGCATCTGGTGCATCCATGTGTACGCAGAAAAAACTAAGATGTGATGAAAAAGTCGCCGTTTTCGTAGTCTGAGAAAGATAAGAAATGTACTTAAAGTCTGCTGAGGTGTCTGTTATGTGGCGTTCCCGGTAATCCTGATTGTGGTCGTACGCAAATAAGGAAGACGGGTGGTTCTGAAGGTTTGGCCTGAGTTCCTTGCTACTTGCCCTTCTTGGGACCTAAGCCGGCGTGGGAAATGGGCACGTCACGTAGGAGGAGGTGCTTCAGGCTGTCTCTAGTTGTGTATCTATACCAAATTCTCGTGGATAAGCAGATGCAGAATTGAAGCAAAGACGCGAACGCATCTGTCGTCAAACTGGGGTGGCATGTGGAGGCTGCATGAGGTGGCCTTGGAGGGCCTTCCTGGGAGCCAGGGCACCTAGAGCACTCTAGCGCGGTGGGTTTTGGCTAAAGGCGTTCCGTAATATCTCCTGTCAAGTTGTACTTGAGCCACCGTGATGGCCAGCGATGCGGTGGGAGGCACGCCTGGCACTGTTCTCCATCCTTTCAGCAATCAAGAACCAGGCTACAGGACACTACATTCTGAATGGGAAAGGGGAGGAGGCCAGATCCCGATCCTTCATCGACCTGGGCGTGGAATGGGAGTACAACATCGAAGACGACATAGAGACGCTCCACACCGCCGGGCCCTTGCACGATGCGGTGGTCGTGCTGGTAGGTTACGTGTTGAGCAGCAAGAATGTGGTGGGTTTGTCTTTATTAACAAGCGCACGGCCAGCCTGGAGCTTGTGCCGAGATCAAACGCTGCTGGGGAATGCTCTGAAAGCCACGTGCTGGTGAGACAGCTGGTGGCCTCAAGCCCTTGTCTCATTATCCATTACCCCTCTTGGAAACCGCTCCCTGTTCACGCAGGGGTGGTACGTCCATCCGAAGCCCAACATTGAGTTGTTGGACTTGAGTGGACCAAAAAAGGGCACCGCGTGTCAAACCATGTCTGAGACCAGCCCTGCTCTTTAGCCAAGTAGATGATGGGGCCACATCATCCTTTGATCCCAGATGACAGTGTCCTACTTGGCCAGCTTAGGACGCTAGCCTGGAAATGTTTCTCGTTTTACATGGCTCTGTGTTGATCTTACTACCTTTGGTTCTAACCTTGAAGACAAAAACCAGATATTTTTGCCCAATGTATTAACTAGCAGTTTCCATGCTTCCCCGAAGAGCCAGGCCTCAGTTTCTTTACTGTGCCGAGGAATAAATCACAGCTCTGGTTTTTGTACCATGTTTACATTTGTTTATTAATAGATCATCCCCCGGGAGAACGACACAAGATCTAGCCTGACCTACAAATACATCATTCATGAGGATTCGGTACCAACCATCAACAGCAACAACGTCCTTCAGGAAGAGATCGATACTTTCGAGTGGGCGTTGAAGAGTTGGTCGCAGTGCTCCAAACCCTGCGGTGGAGGTAAACAGATGATGTAGCACCTTCGAGTAAGGAATGAGAAATTACCAAAAGTGGAGAAGGAAGAGGTGGGGGAAGTGGATGCTTTGGAAATCTTGGCTGTCCTTTTTTTCCCAAGTGGTTGGTTATTTTGGGTGCCCAAGCTTAGAATATTTCAAGTGCCTGATTATTCAAAAGTGTCACACTTGCAGCCTGGAATGAAAAAGTCCTTTTTAGGTGTTTAAGTTCAGCACCCAAAGCCACTTTGGAAGTACCAACTCAGATGTTTGCTGAGCGTTCACTTCACTTCTGGTACGTACGTTACTCGTAGGCAAATGTCAAAATAACTTTAACTCTTACGTTCAGCAGTCGAGCAGGCGATGGGTTCTGGGAGTGGACCAGTTAGCCAGTGACCCGCTGCTTGATGTTCAGGAGGTGGTTTCTGCCCGTGAGTTGGGTGTGATGCAGAGGTGGGACTAAGGGGTCATAACTGTCCCTTCTGCCCTTAAAAACCAATCGCAGTGTCACAACTGGAGCGCTGCGCAGCGGTCTCGTGCCTGATGATGGGACAAACTCTGAGCGCGTTTAAATACTTCGCAAATAATCCGTCATGTAAAACCGTTGAACAGGCCCTAAAACTTAACATTGAAACCAACAATTCTAACAGGGGCTGTTTTCCCCTGATTTTTCTGCAACGTTTCCCAGGGTTCCAGTACACCAAATACGGGTGCCGCAGGAAAAGCGATAACAAAATGGTCCATCGCAGCTTCTGCGAAGCCGGCAAAAAGCCAAAGCCCATTCGGAGGATGTGCAACCTTCAGGAGTGCACCCAGCCCCTGTAAGTACGGCTCGTTTGACGATGCCAACGACGGCTCCGGGTGGTAGGCGGGGAAGGTAACCCAAGCCGCGTTGGGTAGGATCGTAGAATCATGGAATGGTTTGGGTTGGAAGGGACCTCAAAGATCATCTCGTTCCAACCCCCCTGCCATGGGCAGGGACACCCTCCACTACACCAGGTTGCCCAAAGCCCCATCCAACCTGGCCTGGAACAGGATGCTGGCAGCACTCCAGACTGGAGTTCCTGTGTTATGGATGTTTTTTTCTGCCCATATCAGAACAGTTCCAGACCTTATCGAGGGCTTTCATCACAAAAATATTGGATAGTAAGGGCTGCCTGACCTGGCGACGCTCTGGATGGTAGACAAAAAGTCATGATGGTATATCTTCCCCCTTTTTACTTCCCAGCTGGGCAGCAGATGAGTGGGAGTACTGCACCAAGACCTGTGGGAATTCCGGCTACCAGATCCGTACGGTGCGTTGCGTTCAACCCCTTCACGACGGCGCCAACCGCTCCGTCCATTTCAAGTACTGCGGCGGAGAGCGGCCGGAGAGCCGCCGGCCCTGCAACCGGGTGCCCTGCCCCGCGCAGTGGAAGGCTGGGCCCTGGTCCCAGGTAGGCACGTGGCCGTCGCGAGCCGGTGACGTTCCTTTGCTGACATCTCCTGCCTCCCAGGTCAGGTCCAAGCCTGGGCTGAGCGCTCTGCGCTGCACGAGGCAGTTTTCCAAAACCTGGAAGTCTGCAGCTGAGACACCGTCTGGCTGCTGGAGCTTCTCAAGCTCTCCAGGCTTCTCCAGAAACCAGCAAGGAAGATACGATATCAGAGCCACAATCCTGCAAGACAAATGTTGACATTTTGCTTGTTTTTCTCCAAGTTTCCAACTTCTCACTTCCCCGCTCCTGAGGATAGCGTAACATTTTTTTCCCAACTTGGAATTGCAGCGTTTCTCCAAGTGTTGATGTTGTTCCAGTGGCTCAGGAACAAACAGCTGAACCCTACAGCCGACTCCGTGAGCGCGGAGTTTTCTCTGCCCTTTGTCTTCTCTTTAGGTTACGTTGTCAAGCTCAGGTATCGGCTGCAGGAAGGCTAATTGGCAAAATTCATAATATGCTCTAATAATAAATTGAACATTTCAGAAAGCAAGAACCGAGGAAAACACCATCCTCCTCTGCCTCCTCCTCCCTAACGTCAGCCTTCGCTCAAGTCAACTTTCCAAACAAATTGCTGGAATGTATAACCTGACCTGAAAGCCGACCTCGGGCTATTTTAGACCCATCAATTTTTGCACATTGCTGTGAAAGCTGAACGCCCTCAGTTGTCTTGTGTCTGTTCCGTAGTGTTCCGTGACCTGCGGGGAGGGAACCGAGACCCGGCAGATCGTGTGCCGTGCTGGTGACCGGTGCGAGGGAGAAAAGCCGGAATCGGCGCGGGTGTGTAAACTCGCTCCATGCAACGGTAAGAGAACGTCTTGGAAGAAAACACCCCCTTCCTTGGAGGTTCTCCAGCTTTTTCCCAGCCCAAGGCGCCCCGTTGTTGGGTCTGATGCATATCGGTGCCGTAGCTCCGGGCCATCGGTGCTTCTCACACACCGGCATCTCTCCGGTGAACACGCCGAATTCGGGGATTTCAACCCGTTGGCCTCAGTTGCGTTTGCAAAAATTGGTGCTCGAGGTGAAGGTCAATCCAAAGTAAACCCTGCTCGACCTCTAAATCCCAGGATAAGTTTTACAAGCCTGCCAATTGAGGAGGGGGGGGGAAAGGAACCTCAGAGCATTAATAAGGTTCCTGGGAATCTCCTTTCACCGTTCTCGTAGAATTTTTTGAACAGATTTTTAAGCTTTTTACGACAGCAAAGCCTTTCTTCCTTTGGGTCCTTGACTTTATAAGACTTGAGGTTTATTTGGTTTTTAAATCCCTCACGGTAATCCTGACACTCTGCTGGTAGAAAAAACAGAGTTCTTGGAAGGCGCCGTGTGTTTTCCCACAGAGCAGATCCACCTGCTTCCCACGTGGCTGGTAGAAGTGTCTACTTGTGCTCTTACAATGTGTCTTCTGCCAGTGACAGCGGTGGGAGCAGAAAAGTTTTGGGACAACGAGGAGTTACAAACCGTGGTCTCCACTAGGTGGGAGCAAATCCCTACCTATGGCTCTCTACACGAGTAGGTTGAAAACCCTCTTTTTCACTGGTGATAACGTTGCCAAAACTGGAAGAAATAAGGGCTGCACCTTGGCGGAGAGTTTTGTCTGAGCGGAGTTGTCTCCAACGTTTGCCGTGGTTGGCGCGATTTCTTTCGTGCCGTGTGGCACATCAGGGTTTCTCTTCCATTCCATGAAAAAACGTGGCTGTGCCCAGAAGGAGAGCCACCAGCTCTTCCACCGTGCGCCTCGGTGGAGCTGAGTCTCGTAGTGTGGAACAATGAGTTCACCTCCTGTGGATATTTCACTTAGGGGTCTCTGGGATTAGAAGGAAACGGGAGGCAGGATTTTATCTGCGGCAATAATCCGAGCGGCAGTTGGGTTTTTGTGGCTGTGCCAGGTAGGAGAATGGGGTTTGTGGTACTTAGCCAAGCAGATGAGCTCCACCTAAGAACCTGTGTAGAACAGACCCTCGAAAAGTCTTTGTATGAGCTGCCCCTGCTCTGCCTCACAAGATACAGAGCGAAGAAGAGAGCACGCGTTGTTTTAGATTTTTAATCCCTAAATACCAACTTTTCAGCGAGATTTCTGAGCGGGATGCTGTCAGCAAGCAGCGTACGTAGAGTTACAGCGGTGCCTTCTGCGAGAGCTGGGTCCATTCTGAAATGTGACATGAAAGATTTTTAGTTGATTTAAATCCAGTAGCTTCATCTCCAGAAGATTCTTTTGTTGTGATAGGACAAGGGGTAATGGTTTTAAAGTAGAGGGAGGTAGATTCAGGTTGGATATTAGGAAAAAATTTTTTACCATGAGAGTTGTAGAACACTGGAACAGGTTGCCCAGAGAGGTGGTGGATGCTCCATCCCTGGAGACGTTCAAGGCCAGGTTGGACGAGGCCCTGAGCAACCTGATCTAGTTGGAGATATCCCTGTTCCTTGCAGGGGGGTTGGACTAGATGACCTTTGAAGGTCCCTTCCAGCCCTAACCATTCTATGATTCTATGATTCCTTGGGGGGTCGATGCGCTTTCTTGCGTCTT